GAGGAAGACTGGCCCTGGGCTAACATCTGTGCCCATCTTCCTCTACTTTATATGGGACGCCACCACAGCATGGCTTGACAAGCGGCACGTTGGTGCCCGCCCGGGATCTGAACCTGTGAACCTCGGGCTGCCAAAGCAGAGCGCGCACACTTAACCGCTACGCCACCCGGCTGGCTCCTATCTGATCTTTTTATACAGCAGCAACCCTTCTCTCATCACCTCTGAGACGCAGCCCTCCCGTCCTCTTCTCACACCACATGCATGGGGGAGAAAACAAGAAGGCATGCCCATTGCTTCCCTCTTACCCTGAGCAGAAGCTTCCTCAGTGGAAGACTCTCCTAGTTCCCCATCTGTGGAGACAGGAAGGGCTTAAGGCACAGGTGGTCTTGAAGACTCTCTTCATTAGTTACTCCTCACCTAGACCACCGTCTCAACCACAGAGCTGCAGCCCCCACTGAAGCCTCATTCATGGGGACCAGGTGTTGGGAATTAAGCTGGAGTCATATGCCCAAGACAATGCTTGGCTGGCATCCGCCCTCCAAGCTATTACAGAGTTAGAGAGATTAGCTTGGAAGTAAGAAAGAAATTAACATTTGATTTTAGGCATATTTCAACTGGAACTATTGTAAGAGTCTCTGATTTAGCATGCAGACTCCTTCCGTATGGCTCAAAGCCCTATGTGATCTCGTGCCCCATTGCCTCATCTCCCACCAGCCTCCCCGCACTCCTGCCCTCCAGGCACTCCCTGCCCTTTCTCACACCAACACACACTCCTGACCCAGGGCCTCTGCCCTGTCTCCTCCCACAGATATTCATGTCACATGGCTCCTCACAGCCCTGCCGCCCCTGCTCAAATGTCGCCTTACCTGAGAGGATTTCCTGCAGCCACCCCCTTGAAACAGGGCCTGCATGACCTACTCACTCCTCCCCCTTCATTTTCCTTGGGGCACCCCCACCTGGTACACTGCAGTTGAGTGTTTCTGCTTCCTCTGGAATGCGTGCTTCATGAAGACCACATCCCTATGGCCTAGTAAGTGCTCAGTGACTATTTTCTGAATGACTAGAATTCCATAATACAGAAAAGGATTACGAAAGGGAACAGCAATAAATTCTCCTATTATCTATCCTGGCACTGGCTGCATGAGCTTGGGCTCTCTAGTTACGTCACTAGGTCTCTCCACGCCTCACTTTCCTCATCTGTTAAATGGAGATTAGAATAACACCACCCCCACAAAGCTGGGAAATTAAACTACCAGGAGGGATTGTCCTGGCATTCAGCAAGTGCTCAGTGTTAGCTACCTGTTGTTAACGATTATTTTGCTATGGCAATGGGTGGAATTTGTTAAAAAATTCAAGAATTCTAAAGGAGACAAAAACCCTGTCACTTGGGGTAGGACCCTGTGTGTCAAATGCTTGGTTTTACATTTTAAAGGTCTGAACAAGCTTTGGGAGGGTCACCCAAGGGTCAGACAGGCATTCCTCAACCCATGTGCAAGGTCCTACACTATCACCAACGCCCAGGACAGGCAAACCCCCGGGACAGAGCACTCGTCCTGGCCACACAGCTGCCTCATCTCCCCAGCATAAGGCAGCATCCGGGAACCAGGGCTGGCAGAGAAGACCAGCTTTAAAAACAGCATTAAGATGAAATGGCAAAGAGAGACTAAAAGTGTTTAGAATCCTGGACTCAGAATATTAGAGATGCAAAGGTTCTGAAATACTGACCCGACTCCTGCCCCCACAATCTTCCAGTCGTATTTCCTCAGCCACATGCGATAGAGTCACAAATTTTAAATTATGTCGTGGCTATACATCTACACTGTATCTCATCCACATCCCACGTCTCTCTGTCTTGCTACTTGCCTCGCGAGCAGAGAAAGGAAAAGTGGTCAGCGAGTCCTGACCAGCCAGCAAATGCAGGGTCTCCGGCCAGGTCTTCCCAGCAGAGCAGAGAGCTGACACATCCTCCCCAGCCTCTCTTCACACACAGGGCAGACGGCCTCAGAGCTCACACCTGTGAGCAGCAGGAACGGCCAGCCCACAGAGGAGCAAGCGCCCCAGGTGGCCCACCTGCTCCTTCTGCCTGACCAGAGCATGGAGGCTCGTGGGAGGTGCCTCCCCCTATCCCCCAGGGTGGAGGCTAACAGGCCTTTTAACAAGGAGAATAGCCCTGGTGGAACGCAGGGCCCCTTGGATAAACCTGGGGCTCCAAGGACAAACATCTTCAGCCCACCCACAAAAGACGCCGGAGCACTTTCACTGCCAAAGAACATCCAGGTGTCTCACCCAGCCGAGGGCCAGGGCCAGCTGCTCCCTGCCCCACATCCGCCCAGTCTGACCTCGCTGACCCCAGCCTCCAGCCCAATCTGGGGCCTATCTTGAGCCTCGCTGACTTCTACCTGGGTTGCCTGCCCCGGTGAGGCCCTGGTCCAGGCCTGGCTTTGGACTCTGAGGGTCCTGCCTCTGGACTCTGGGTCCTACGGCCATTTACCCAGCTATTAGCCTGGGACAAAAAAGACCTGATCCCAATGCACAGTTTTCTAACTTCATTTCTATCCTAATCCAACCTATGGAGGCTGGACTTTTGACCACATCTTAAAGGATGAAATAATCCATAATATACAAAGAGGACTGAGAGTAGGAGAGCTGGCACACATTGTTCCTTATGGGCATAAGAATGGGACATTTACTCCACGAGAGTGATACAGAGATAATTACAGGTCTTATCAGTACATAACATGACTGCAAGGAGATTACAGTGACCTTCAGCGTCCCCACCGGGGAACTGCAGAAAGAATCAGAGGAAACACAGAAGGACTTTTAAGTGAAAAGACTTCACTTATTTTAAAACAACGGAGCCCTCTGACTGCCTTGTATTTGTGTTCATGGGCAGATCATATTCTAAGAACAGGAAAAAAAATCCTACAGCAACATAAAAATCAGTTAAAACATAAGCTTAGTCACTCACAAAACTTTAGACGAAAACCATATTTTATATTTAGCATCTATGCCCTTCAAGTGGTTTCATACTCAAGTTGCTCACAAAACAGCCAGAACAGCAAAACTTTAAACCACAAATGGTCTGACACTTCCAGCAGCCAACAGCTTCCTCTGTGGCAATCTGTGAGCAGTGACCCCGCGGAAGGAGGCTGCGGAGACTGCCCTGCACATTACGGCCGGTCTCTCAACCTTTTCTCTCCAGCGAAACTGTGAGAGCAGAACCGCACAGGCAGAGTCCTGGGATCAATGCAGATCGAGCACATATTCCTGGTATGTCAAGTGCAGTGAGCTCAAATCTTCAAAATGCTTAGAAGTTTCCTGATGTTCAACTCCATTTTGCACAGAAAAAGATAATGAACAAGCAACTCGCAACTTAAAAATCCCAGAGGCTATCCTTCTTCTCCCTTTCAACAAAAAAAATAAAACTCAGAGGAAGCATACACTCACTTGTTTTTTCTGGTTTTGGCTCCTCATTATCTACAAAAGAAAAGTCTAAATCAGATTCATATGACAACTGAGAAAAACACAGCCTAAGGGAGGGACGCCAGATGTTTGCCTCTCACCAGCAGCAACCATTTCCTGCCTTTCTTCCTCAGCTCATCCTGTTTTGCCACTTTGCTGGCCAACTAGAAATTGCTTACCACGTAAGTACTTTTTCAGGACTGTACGAAAGCACCTGACAATGAACGCACCCTCCAGCAATGTAAGTGATATGTGCATTAGTTTGAAACAGAAATAAAGGTGTATACGTTTAACTAGATTTCTATAACTAAAGAAACACACACATACATTACTTACCAGACTCACTTTCAGAACTGCTCTCACAACTGCTGTCTTCTCCTGAAAAAAAGCATGTCAAAGTACACAGTGAATAAAAAGTGGGAGTTATTTTTTTAAATTATATATATCATAAAATAGATCCAAACCCAACTAATTTCTTCTTTTAATCAATTCTCATTAAGCCCAAAACTAGTCTGGTTCAAATAAAAAGGGGCTTATTCTTCTTTGGAAATGGATAAAATATACTTTAATGGTTTAAATATGAGCTCAAGGGCTGGCCCTGTCGTGTAGTAGTTACGTTCCTGTGCTCCACTTTGGTGGCCCGGGTTCCCAGGTTCGGATCCCGGACGTGGGCATACACCACTTGTCAGCCATCCTGTGACAGTGTCCCACATACAAAATAGAAGACAACTGGCACAGATGTTAGCTCAGGGCTAATCTTCCTCAAGCAAAAAAAAGAGGAAGATTGACAACGGAGGTTAGCTCTGGGTGAATATTCCTCACCAAAAATAAATAAATAAATATGAGCCCAAATCACACTTTGGCTGCAATAATCACTTTATTTGGGTGTCACCCAGGTCCTACCCAGCCTTGACCCACCCCTGCTGCTCCCGTCATGCCACTGCACTTGCACATCTAGAAGGTCCCATGCACAAGTTCAATGATATGAGAGTGCAGAATTCTGGAGTGTAGACGCCATTTCACTGAAGCACAGGACAAACGAAGCTATAGTGTTCAGTTAGTTCTGGAAAAAGTGGTTCCCAAAAATGCTCCCTCCACCTCTTCAAGCCCAACTCAGCACCTCATCCCACAGCAATCAGGCTTCTGTTCCCCCAACTGGTAGGGAATCCTTTCCTTGATGTCTCCAAAGGCCCGCTAACCCCCACAGCTCCCTAGGGCGAAGACGCCCGCCCGCCACTCCCTCCTGCCACAGGGCCTCCATGGTGTCTGCCCTGGTCGTCCTCCTGCCTCTCTGATGCCCTCCACTTGCCTCCGGCTCCTCTTCACACTCTCAACTACTAATGCCCAGGCCCCACTCCCCACTCCCAGCCCTTTCCACTTCCAGAGCCCTGGGATGGCATTTCACCTCCTCCCAAATCTGAGTCCAACGTCCACCTCCAGGGGCCCCCGGCCCTCTCCCGGCAGACCACAGAAGCACGCCAGGCACAACCTGCCTGGCCCGAGTTCAGCCCCTCCACTCCCACTCTTCAATCACTCCTCCTCCTACTTTCTGACACTGCCTCATCCTCGACTCAGGCTCCAGATTTTATGAGGAAATACGAGGAAAGCTATTAGCATTATACTCAAATCCTCCCCTCCCTACATACAACTACTGACAACCAGAACCAACGATTGGCAATAGTTACGTGAAAGGAAGGAAAAGATTTGAGAATAATGATGGGAACAACAATAATAGCAGCTTTCTTTGAGTGCTACATGCCAGGCACTGTACATATATCTACTCATCTACATATAGTCACTCATTTTGTATATATATACACACACACAGTCCACATATATTTATGAAAGTGCTTTACGCATATTTACACATCTCACAACTGCCCAGTGAGGCGAGCTGAGGCCAGTTAACTTACTTATGCAAGACTACCACCACCACCCCGCCACCCCACCACTCTCCCACAGGAAGTCTGGGAGCTAAATTTCAGCTCGGGCAGTGTGGCCCGAACTTGCACTCCTGACCCTGTTGTGACACTCACAAGCACACTTATCATTTCTTAGGCAGTTCACCCCCAGGAGCTGGTGACTGGCTAGACGTGGGGGGAGGGGGCGCAGGAGTCAGGGTCCTGCAGGAGAGGACGCCTGAGTGGAGCGGAGGCATTCATGGTCTCGGGACAGGCAATCAAGGTGGAAGACGTGGCCTCCGTCCTCCAGGGCTGGAAGCACAGAGCAGCGGTTCTCAACCTTGGCTGCACATTGGCATCAGCTGGGAGCGTTCTGAACACACCCACACCTGGGACTCCGCCCTTCCTTACACGTTCTCATTTCACTGGTTTGGGGTGCGGCCTGAACAGCGGTATCTTTTTAAGGCCCCAGATGATTCCAATGCGTAGCCAAGGTTAAGAACCACTGGACTAGAATCAACCTATCCTAATCACTCCCCTGTTCCCCAAACTTGTTCCCCAGGATGACTGCCCCTCTTCCTCTAAGCCTTTAGAGATGCCTTCCCACTGCCCGGAAATCCTTTCCCCAGACCCTCCTCAAGAGCTCTTGGGTATCCAGGAAGACCTAGCCCAAAGGTACTTCTGCCGCAAGTCTCCCTCCAGCCGCGGGGTTGGCCGTGCCTCTTCTGTGGTCCATCCTGTCACTCTTATCCCCTGGCAGGCTACTTGTTTAGCTGTTGGTCTGTGAGCCCTGGGGGACTAAGGCCACGTCTCAGCACTGTGATTCCCCAGCACGCATCCCTACACAGCTGCTCAATGAATGAATGCATATGGCAATGAATGAATGCCTTGCCCGGCTTTGAAGTACCAAGCAGGCCTACCATGGCCCCACTTTCTTCTGTCGGTTCCCTCTAAGAGTCTGGGCCTCTGCAGGACTGTAATTCTGCCTGGACCACCCCAGGTGAGGCCCCATCTTCTGCCCAAGGTCCCTGGGAGATGGCGTCTCCATCAGTGGGGTGGGGAGTGTGACTCTGGGCCACCCTTTCAGTTCACCTTCCTGCTGGTTCTGGTCCCAGGACTCCTGGTTCTATCTCTGCTCCCTAAAGCCACCGGGACCATTTTTCTGCCTCATGGCATAACTTTGAGGACTGAAAAAGCTATCTGTAAAGAGTGACCAGCCAGGGCCTGGCACACAGAGGCACTTAAGAAGTGGCAGCTCCTTTTTTTTTGGCTGAGGAAGATTCGGCCTGAGCTAACACCCATTGCTAATCTTCTTCTTTTTTTTACTTGAGGAAGATTGGCCCTGAGCTAACATCTGTGCCAATCTTCCTCTATTTTGTATGTGGGATGCCGCCACAGCATGGCTGACGAGTGGTGTAGGTCCCGCCTGGGATCCCAACCCACAAACCCAGACCGCCACAGTGGAGCACGCCGAATGTAACCACTCTGCCACGGGGCCGGCCCCAGCAGCAGCTATTTTTACTATAGGTCTTGCTCACTCCTAAACTCCTGCGACAGGCACTGGCCAAGCCTGTTGTTACAAAGCATGAAACCCCACCCACACCTGTGCAGGTGAGGGCTGTGGCAGCAAACCCTTTGTTGGGGAGAGCCGACGTGCAAAGAGCCCCCCGCTCTGAGTTCCTCCTCTCTTGTTCTCTCATTTTGACTGCAGCCCCCTTCATCATGCCAGCTGTCCTTCAGAACGCCCACCTAAATGTGGACAACATCCATACCCCTTCCTTTCATCCCTTTAGTTCAACTAAAAAAGGCTAAACTTGGGGTGGGCCTGGTGGCATAGTGGTTAGGTTCAGTGTGCTCCACTTCGGCAGCCCAGGTTCACGGGTTCGGATCCCGGGCACAGACTTACACCACTCGTCAGCCATGCTGTGGTGGTGACCCACATATGAAATAGAGGAAGATGGGCACAGATGTTAGCTCAGGGCCAATCTTCCTCACCAAAAAAAAAGGGGGGGGGGCTAAACTTTTCAAAATAAACTTTACTTTTAAAAAAAAAAGGTGAGAAAGGGAAAGGGAACACAAAGCAGCTGTACTGCCTCTCTGGCTCCTTTCCTCAGCTGGTGCAGAAGCCCACTAAGCTCCTCCCCCAGCCCCAGCTGGGGGACAGACACCTCCAGGGGCAGACAGTGGGGGAAGGGGGATATGGAGACCTAAGCCCCTTCCAAGTTCCAAGCGCAGTGGCTGCACAGCCCACGACCCTCCGCCCAGAGGCCAAGGTCAGGGTTACTCGCACCTCCCACCTGGGGCTCCTTGGTCTGCCCTGTACCTCTTCCCGCCACATCAGCTCTGTCCTCAGTTTACAAAAACCACCCTATGCTTCTTGACAAGTCCGGCCCCCCCAAACCAGCAGAAAAGGTGCCACCCGGCTCTGGCTGGAGGCATCTCTCCCCTGAGCCCACTTGAGGATGTGTAGTACACACCTGCTGAACAATCCTCAGCAGTCACCTTCTCCTCCCATCCCCATGCAGACACCAACCCCGCAGGAGGATTTCTCCTCCTCTCTCAGACAGCTGGGGGAGAACCAGCCTCGCACAATCCCATTCTAATCTCTGTTTGGGTTCCATCTTACACAACCGTAGTTCAACTTCTGTTTTTATTTAACGTTAACGCCAAAGAGTAGCTGGCAAAACATTAATATCCTCAGGGGGTGCTGCTGGTTCCCCTTTTGTCACTAGAAACATGGAAACCCCGGAACGAAAGCCTACACAATCATCAAACTCGTAGAAAATTGCCTTGAGGAGAAAAGATACTTAATTTTCCAGATATAGGTAAAGATAAAAAACCCTTCCATCTGGCAACAAGATTGCCAATTGACCCTTTTCTCAGAAATTACCTGGGTAAGGAAAATAAATTAGAGGAACAACTTGTGCTACTTGTCCGTCCTAAAGTATATTCTACTCTGCATGAACCTAACCACAGAACAAATCAAGTGTGCAAAACCCTCAGTGCCAGCATACCTGGAAGGAGGGCCCCCGGGGCACAGACATAGCCACGCTCAAATTTTTCAAGACAACAACATGTATTTTTTTCTGGTTGATAAGCTTTGGATTTTTTTTGATATAACTTTTTTCTTCTATAACAGTTTTATTGAGATCTAATTTACATACCATACAATTCTCCCACTTGAAGTGTAAATTCAGTGGCTTTTAGTATATTCACAGAGCTGTACATCCATCGCAATAACCAATTTTACATTTTCACCACTTGCTAAAAAAACTGTATAATCTTTAGCTATCCCTCCAAACCTCCCCATTCCTCCCAGACCTAGACAACCAATTATCTACATTCTGCCTCAATAGAGTTGCCTACTCTGGACATTTCATATAAATGGAATCACAATATGTAAACTTTGGGTCTGCCTTCTTTCACTTAGCATGTTTTCAAGGTTCAACTATATTGTAGCAACTATCAGCACTTCATTCCTTTTTAGGGCTGAATAATATTCCACTGTATGGTGTTATGTGCTGAATTGTGTCCCCCTAAAATTCATATGTTGAAGTCCCAACCCACAGTACCTCAGAATGTGACCTTATTTGGAGAAAGGGTCTTTACAGAGGTAACCAAGTAAAATGAGGTCATTAGGGTGGGCCCTAATCCAATATGACTGGTGTCCTTATGAAAAGGGGAAATGCAGACACAGAGACACATACAGGAGGAACGTCAAACGATCAAGATGGCCATCTACAAACCAAGCAAAGAGATCTGAAATAGATCTGTCCCTCATGATCCTCAGAAGGAGCCAACCCTGCCAACACCTCGATCTTAGACTTCTAGCCCCCAGAACAGTGAGCCAATAATTCCCATTGTTTAAGCCACCAGTTTGTGGTATTTTGCTACAACAGCCCCAGCAAACTGATGCATACGGGTAATACCACATTTTGTTTATCCATTCGTCACTGGATGAACTTCTGGGTTGTTTCTCACTTTTGGCTACTATAAATAATGCTGCTATGAACATTCATGCACAAGATCTTGTGTGGACCTATGTTTCCATTTCTCTTGGGTATACACAGAGGAGAGGACCTGTGGGGTCAAATGTAACTATGTTTAACTATTTGAGGACTGCCAAACTGTTTCCCAAGTAGCTATGCCACTCCATACTCCCATCAGCAGTCTATGAGGGTTCTAATTTCTCCACACCCTTGTCAACACTTGTTATCATCTGCCTTTTATCACAGCCATCCTAGTGGGTGCGAAGTGGTATCCTGCTGTTGGTCTGATTTGTATTTCCCTGAAACAACCCTGAACACCTTTCACGTGCTTATTGGCCATTTGTACATCTTCTTTGGAAAGACAATTTTCTCCCTAACTTTGCTCTGTTACCCAATTCATCACCTCCTCAGGGAAGCCTGCCAGGACGAAGTGTCTCCCACCTGGCTGGGCTTGCAGAAGACCCTGTATTAGGTTAGTGTGGTCAGTCTAGATTGCCCCATCAGATAATTTCTCAGTTTCACTAAGTACAGCTTTATCACCCAACTTTAAAGTCGATGACTTCACTACGCTAAGTCATCATAAAACTTTAAGATTTATTCAACTCTTTCAAGTAGAAAAATGAAAGTCCCTAACTTTTACTCAGATTACTTGACGTAAAACAGAAAAATAAACTATAATTTATCTTGCTATGAATTGATTATTTTGTAAAAATTTCATTTGGGCATATGCCAATATTAATCATATCCCTTACCTGATTTAGAGTCCTTTGAAGTATCTAGGTTGGGGCTAGGGCAATCTAAATTTGGAGAAAGAAATGAAGTTTAACAGTGTAAATACAAGAGTAAAATATAACATTATGTTCATTTTTGTAAAAGCCACTAGTGAAGGGGCTGGCCTGGTGGCATAGTTTGCATGCTCCGTTTCAGCAGCCTGGGGGGTTCGCAGGGTCGGATCCCGGGCACGGACATACGCACTGCTTATCAAGCCGTGCTGTGGCAGGGGTCCCACACATAAAGTAGAGGAAGATGGGCACAGATGTTAGCCCAGGGCCACTCTTCCCCAGCAAAAAGAGGAGAATTGGCAACAGATGTTAGCTCAGGGCCAATCTCCTCACCAAAAAAAAAAAAAAAGCCACTAGTCAACAGTAATAGAAACACCTTCTGCTATGAATTGAATCACCTATCTAGATGCAAAGCAGCCTTTGGTAACTTATGCCCAGTTACCAACGGCAAACGATGCCATATTCTCAGGGGAAAAAAGATTTACACCAAGAAACCTTAAGCCTTTCCAGTAGATAGAACAGAAAGCCAACAAACTTTATAATTACACTTGGTTGGTTCCCAGTAAGCCCTCAATTTTGTGCCAAAGAAGCTGTATTGTTTCTTTGTTTGATCAGCTCAGCAGCTCCCTAAACACATCCTGGCAATTAAGTAACTTCACATCAGAAAGGAAAAAAGCACCTGGCCGATGAGGGTTTGGTGTTACCATACTGAAGAATCCACGTCCTTCCCCAGTTAGTAGTCTATTCAAGCAATCATTGCCAACAATTGAGTGAAAACACACACCTGGGTTGAAGATAAGGCTCTGAAGTTGGCCAGATAAGGTGGGGCAGAGGAGGGAAGGCCCTGAATGCAGTTAGGAAGAACCGGCACTGGGTGATGGTCCAGGGACCACCCTCGGCAGGCCCCACTCGAGACCCAGACCGAGTGTATTCCTTAATAAGAGAGCTCCTACTTGACTCAGTTTCTGCGATAGAATTATGTGTTGCTATTTTCACTAAGCATATAAAATATTTTCACTAAGCGTATACAACACTCGAGTATTAAAGAAAACACCTAGTTATTATGCACGGAAAGTTTATAGAATTCAGTTGATAATACTTCTCTAATCTTACTTTATTGAATTTAAAATAAAGTTAAAAAGAACATTAGACCCAGAGTTTAAAAGAAGGGAGATATAAGAGCATTTACTTTCCATTTTTCAAGTTGTAAAAAGCTACAAAGGCCCAAATTCTTTACATTTCACTTTTTTAAGTATCTGTTGAAAGATGTTAAAATTCTGAAAAAATATTATCCCATCATCTTAACCTAATGAATATTTCAACGCATTTCTATTTCTGTAAGTCTATGAAATCCTGAATGTAACAAAGCAACTCCACCCAATAATTAAAATGAATGAAGAAGTCATTTTCTAAATCTGCAAATGTTTCCATAGCATAGGTCAAGGTTCTCGATGACAACGCTGGCGCAGAGCACTGTACCTTTTTCTTCTGAAGAGGCACTGTGATCACCACTAGAACAAGAGAAGAAACACCGTTTTATAAACGAATACTAATTTTATACACAATAATTAGGAAAATCGTGGAAATGATTATGACGTTATGCTTCTCCAGAAATGCTGCCGATTAAAGACCTCTCTCCCTCCTCAATGCTCTTCCCGCCCCTCCCACTTCCCACCTACACCCGACCCCACACGGCACACACGGAGC